TGGGTCCCCTTTCCTGGACACGGTTCCTGCCCTACACAACCCACTCTCAAATCCAGAGACTCAGAGTCAGAAACCACTGGACTTCCTATGTGTTAAGCCAGAGCACACCTAGACAGGTTGAAGGTAGCTTAGTTAGGGTCATTCAGTATAGCAGAGCTCCAGACCCAGACTCAAGCCAGGCATGGTGGTATGTATACGCCTTTAACCCCAGCACAAGGGAGGTGGAGGCTGGCAGATCTGAGTTTGAGACCAGTCTGGTCTACATAATGAGTTCCCAGCCATTCAGGACGATATAGTAAAATTCTGTCTCAAAAAAAAAAAGAAGGGAGGGTGAGAGAGATGACCCAGTAGTTTAGAGTATTTGTAGCTCTTACAGAGGTCTCCAGTTCAATTCCTAGCACCCACATGGTGGGTCACGATTGTTGGTAACTCCAGTTCCAGGAATCCAACCAACATCCTAACACACTCTCCTGACCTCTGTGGGCACCAGGCACACACAACATGCACATACATACATACATGCGGCAAAATATTCATACACATAAAATAAATAAATCTAAAAAGTAAAATTTTCAAGAATTGTTTGTTTATGTGCATCAGTGTTTTGACTATATCTATGTCTGGATGAGGGTGTCAGGTCCTCTGGAACTGGAGTTACAGACAGGGAGCTGCCTTGTGGGTGCTGGGAACTGAACCCGGTCCTGAGCCATCTCTCCAGCCCTAGTTGTTTGTTTTTCGAGGCAGGGTTTTCTCTGTGCAGGTAGCCCAGGCTGGCCTCAAACTCAGAGATCCACCTGCCTCTGCCTCCCGAGTGCTGGGATCAAAGGTTTGCACCACCAAAACAAAACAAAAAAAATTAAAAATTTAAGGATTTAATATAGAGTGACTCCACTAGAGTGAAGGATTTACTTTAAAAACAAACAAAAACGCCACCCCAGATGCTCTACAGCCCTACACCAAGGACGCCAAATGGAAGGGAAGGAGTTCCTAGGGTGACCTCTGCTGGGCCTGACCGTAGGAAGGAGTTCCTGAATTCTATCCCGCCCAAAGCAAACAGGAGGGCCGCCCTTGGACCCTCCCCCCTTCCCCAAAGCTAGCCCTGTTGAAAGCTCTCTGCCAGACTCTCTCCAGAAGATTGGCACGCAGTGCTGTGACGGACATCATCTATTATTTCCACCAACAGGGGAGGGTCTCAAGTATCCCAGGCAGGCCTACACTCCCTATGTAGCTGAAATGACCTTGAACTCCTGACACCTCCCGCTGCCACCTCCCAAGTCCTAGGCTTATAGGTGTGTACCACCACACCCAGTTCATTCTGTACTATGGATACAGAGCTCAAAGCCAGTTGAACACTATACCAACTGGACTATGTCCCTAGCCCCAAGCTGCCAGTTTCTTAAAAAAAAAAAAAAGAAAAGAAGAAGAAGAAGAAGAAGAAGAAAGCTACTTATTTATTCTATATATATATATGAGTTCTCCATCTTTCTGGGCACCAGATCTCATTACAGATGGTTGTGAAACACCATGTGGGTGCTGGGAATTGAACTCAGGACCTCAGGAAGAGCAGCCAATGCTCTTAACCACTGAGCCACCTTTCCAGCCCCCAAGCTGTCAGTCTTGGCTTCAGGTATTCCCATCACTTTGAGCAATGCCGGACTGTGTACTAAAGACTCTTTCAAATGCATGAGACCAACTGACCTTGGGCAATATGCTGCTTCCGCGCTAAGGATTTTTTCACCTGTACTAGTGAAAACTGCTTACCTCCAAACAGAGAACAGCCTGGCCAGAGTTTGAGCAGCCCAGCCTTCCTGTTAATTCTCTTCCCCCTTCAAACTGGCCCTCCTTCCTGCTCGATACCTCCAGAAAGCCTTCCCTGTTAGCCACTGGACCTATCCTGGCAGCAATCCCAGAACACTCCATCCGGACACACTTGTTCAGGTGATCTTTCTGGAAAATATGGATTCCTGTTTGCTTTTGCTTTTTCAACTTCCTCTTATGTCTGCCTCCTCCTGTGAGACAAGGTAAGCCTCCATCTCCTGTGACTTCGCATCAGTAATAATCAACGTGTGTGTCTGAGATGTAAAACATGGGCTAAAATGAACTAAACTAATACCCGAGTCCTCAGCATCCCACATCGGAAGCCTGCCACCACTGGACCATACTCCACAGTTTAAAGAGTTTTCAAGTCTGTTATCTAACTGGATTCTTGAACACCCTGGTTTTACAGATAAGGAAGGGCAGGCACGGAAGGGTGAACGGGCAGCCTGTGTCTCGTCACTCAAGAGGCTTGTTCTTGTTGGCCTCCCAACCCACCCCTGCCACGTTCCTCTTGACTAAACTTTTGAACGGAATCTAGCGCCCCTTGCCTTCCACACTGACTTCTCCTTCCTGTGTTATGTCATCTCTTGTCAGAACCTTGGACCATCAAGGCTGCATCCAGGGAAAGGTTCCTTCCCTTTCCCACAGAGAAGCTGCTTGTCCAGTGCCATGGGTCTTACTTAGGAGCTGTATCAGAATTAAACTCATTTGCCTGACTCCGATACTGTCCCCACACTATCAAGTTCCCTTACCTCTCTCTGGGCTGACTCCTATCTGTAGAGTGAGCTGCCTGAGATCTCCAAGCCTCACCCTGTGTCTTATGGAGAACCATGTTAGTTTGAGAGACATCCAATTTTCAATTTAAATCTCAGTCTGGTCAAATTAATCATTCACTGTCACTAAGCCTTTGGGGTTTTTTCCATCTGCAAATGGGACCCCCCCTCCCCCAGACAAGTGTTGATATGTAGCCTGGGCTGACCTCAGATTTATTCTCCTGCCTCAGCAGCTCCAGTGCTGGGGTTCTAAGTGTGTTGCCATCATGCAGGGCTCTGCAAATGGGATCTAGTGAGGAAATGGATCTAGGTCTCCTGACACATTCAGAGTCATCCATCAACGTCAGATTTCTCCTTTTCTAAGTCTGAAAGGGGAAGCACAAGAGTCCTGGGGGAAGATGTGAAGCTTGGGTCCCACTGCAAGCTGTGTCTCCCACATAGCAGTGAGGGGAGCAGGGAGGGACCTGTGTCTCTCAGATCTCTGGCTCTGAGAATGTGATGGACCTAAGGAGCTCCCCACAGAGGCCTTCTGTCCTTCCAGAAATGCCCCTAGCCTAGCGTATCCCTCCTTCCCCAAGCTCCATCCTGATGATCATGTCCCCTGAAAGAGTTAAGCCTCCAGCCTTGGCTTCCTGGCCAGTGGAGATTAGAGAGATCGGATTTATTTCTCTTAATAAACAGAAAAGAAGCTGGGCCAGGCAGGTGACAAGGAAACAATGGGAACAATCGAAGGCTGGAGCGAAAAGGAACAGGACTGCCCTCAGAAGGACCCGGAGCCACCTCCAGACCTGGGAAGACAACAGCTCAGAGCAGAGGGTGTCACCCACGCACGTGGACTCGGTGAGGCCGACCTGCTGCCCAGAAAAAGCCCAGTGCTACTCAATACCAAACACAAGGCAGGAGGAGGCTAGGCCACTGCACTGATGACCTCAGGAGGCTGGAGTACTAACCCACAACTCAGTCACTGCAGCCCTCTGCCTCCAGGCTGGTCGCCTGGAAGAAGAGAATGCACGCCCCTTGGGGTATACCACTAGGTCACTATCCCGCCTGACAACCTGACCACAGCCCATACTGCTGCAGTTCTGACCCAAGCCCTCTTACGGGAGGTTGGAGCGACTTCACCCTCCATCCCCGTGGGGAAGCCTGGGACAGACTCTCCTCCAGGTAGGGGCTGCAGAACACTTGGAAACACCCCTCATCCAAACCTTCCCTCAGGGTTTGGCCCATTCATCTCAGTCCCAGCACCCTAACTTCTATTTGTGGCTAGACTGCAGGGAAGCAGGGCCCTTATCCAAAAGGAAGATCAGGGCGGATGCAATCGCACAAGGTTTTCCACCCTCTTCCTGACCCCTCAAGTTCCTTCCAACTCTCCAGAGGTGGTTAAAGGACACTGCAAAGGAAAACACAGCTAGATGGGTCGGGCCCTGACCTCTGCCATTTCCTCACCATCATCACAGTCACTGGGCAGAACAGGAGAGACAGACTTCCAGGCGCAGCTGCCCCCAGCAGAGACTCACACTCCCTACCAAACTGGAGACAGAAGCATGAGAGAAACCAGACAAGTGGCCAAAAGTACAGTGACCCTAACAGGGACGGACAGGTCAGGTCCTTCCCCGTTTCTCAGGCTGCCCATCCCTTAGGTTCCAGGAAGAGCCATGGACTCAAAACTCCACAGACTAGGAAACAGCTGCTGGATTTCACTCACCCAGCCCAGGCACAGCCTCTCCATTTAACGTGTACCTCAGTTTCCCCCTTTCTCAACACCAGCAGGTCCCTACCTGGACTAGGGAAAGGAGTAAGTGATGAGGAGAGGCCCTAGGTTCTGGAAGGTGATCTCACCACCCCAGGAGGTGGATGTTTGTGGTTTGGCCCAGGTAAGGAGGGGGTGGGGGTGAGAAACGCTAACACCGGGAACAACCTAAGGCAAGGGACTTCAAGCTGAGTCTTTTGTGGAACTGGGAACCAGGATCTACCCGGAGGGCAAAAACTCCCGTTTGAGTAGGTTGACCTTAAAGACCCAAAGAGACCGCCACCCCAAGACCCAAGGCCACCTGCCTCTCCCATTGGCCCCAGGCCAGAGTCAAGTCTCTGACCCCCTGACTCAGCAGAGGGCAGAACCTGGGAGAGCGAGGGGGAAGTTCTCTCCACCAGGAGGGCCAGCCAGCCCAGCACTTCCTGCTTCAGCCAGGGAATCCCTGCCCCAGATGGGGGTCTCGACCCCTCAAAGTTGGATAGCCTGTGTCCCTGGAGCGGCGCAGGTCCTCTCTTGGGGTGCCCTAGGCTCTCCACTTCCTCCAACACCACTGCCTAGGAGACAACCCTTCCCCATACTGCCGACCCCCCCCCCCAGGGGACCCACCCTGCCACACCCTCCTCGGAGCGCTCAACCCAGGTGCCCAGCCACCTTACCCCTGCCTTTGCCCTTGGCCCGCTTGGCCTTGTCGTCCGCCTTCTTGGCCCGGGGGGCGGCCGACTCGGCGCCCTCGGCCCCGGCCGCCTTCTTCTTGCGCCGTTTGCCCCGCAGCCAGCTGAAGGCGCGGCGGAGGCCGGAGCGGGACTTCTTCCTGCGCGGGGGGCCGCCGGGGCTGCCAGGCTCCTCGGCCGCAGGTGCGGCGGGGGGCGCGCGGGCCGCCATGGCGCGGGGCTGGGGGGGGGGGGGCGCGCGGTGCCAGCGGCGGGGGTCAGGCCCCCTGCGGCGCGGCGCCCATGCGCGGGGGCGGCCGCCGCTGGAGACGCGCCCGGAGAAAAGTTTGGGCGGCGGAGGCCGAGCGAGCGCTGCGGGGGCGGGGGCAGCGCGGGCGGGGCCGCGGGGCGGGCGGGCGGGCGGGCGGGGCGCGAGTGGCGGGAGCGGCCGTCGGGGGAGGGGGGCGGGGGGGGGGAGGATCGGTGGCAGCGCGGTGGCAAGCCGCCCCTCCCCGCCAGCAGAGCTCCCCCCCCACCCCCCGAGGACGAGGTCGGGCCGTAGAGGAGGGGGTCTCCCCGAGCTGCGAAGGTCTGTCCCGCGGAGGACCCCGAGAGAGTGCGGGATCCGTAGGGCTGGAAGGGGCGGCGCAGTGCTGGGCTTGGACCACCCCGGGAGAGCCGGTCGGTCGGACGTCTCGAGGACGGTTGAGGAAGACTTTCCCAAACACCTGGGACCTGTGGCGGGTAGCAGGCATTCCCCTGGCTCAGGACCACAGCAGCCCCAGCCTCCAGCCAAGTTCTGTGTTCCTGACTGCGCCTCATTCATTCCAGAGTACCTAGGGTGCGATGATAAGGCCTCAGTTTACCCTTAATTGGCCTTTGATTCCCCCAGGGCACCCGTGTTAAGACTCAGGCTTTCCCACTGAGATAGATGATCGAGGAAGATAAATTAGGGTGGGTCTTGAGGTAGGTGACTGGAGTGCCTGGGGAAGGGGGTAAGAGAAAGCCTTTGGAAGGCTCGAAAATGGTGTGTTCATCTCCTTGCAGGCCTCTGCTGCTTTATTATAGCTGACCAAGCCCTTTTATATCTCTGATTCCACACGCTATGAGGAAAGCAAGGTAGGGAAGGTTACCCTTTAGGACAGAAGGAAGAGTAAGGTGAGCACCCTGAAGTTCACCTCTGCCGAGAGGCTAGAAAATCTCCTGCCGTGGGTCCCCGGAAAGGTCTTGTGACTGCCCCACAGTTAGAGTTGTCCAGCATTATCGGCTTGAAACTAGTCACCCAGCTTTCTCCTGGTCCTGGTCACAGCCTAATCTGCCCTGGCATGCAATAGTCCTCACTCACTCTAGCAGTGTGAGCTGACTACAGCACCTGCCTTAGCCCCTGAGTGTCCCAAGGCTCTCAGCTGTGCCGAACCAGGGCCCCAAGACAGACCACCTACTGCTCATGCTGCGCCTCAGTTTCCTGAGAGCTTAAAGGGAGTGTAGGCTCTCGTTCTCAAATGACACTGGACCCTGCCCTCAGGGTGCTCTTGACCAAAAATCTAACCTGAGGACCCCATGTCTTCCTCTGCTAATCACTGTCCAAGTACTGAGAATGCAGGAAAAGGTGAGCAAGGCCTCAGGAAAGAGATAGTCCGCATGCCCTGGCTTTTCACGTATGAACAAGGCTTTGCTTAAGGCCAGTCACTGACAGCAGGAGGGGAAGGGGGAAGAAGAGCCCAGTGCAGCCCTTGCTCTGGCTTTTGGAAGGAATTGGTCAGCAGAGTGTTCGTGATTCTTGCCCAGTACCAGCTCTTTAATACGCTCTCCCCAGTGGCAGAGTTTAGCTATGATTTGCAAGGCCCCTTGTTCAGCTATCATATCATCTTATGATGGACCTGTGTAAGCTGCTGGCACCACCACCAGCACCACCACTGGCTGCAAAGAGTCACGGCCCTTGGGCTGGAGAGATGGCTCAGCGGTTAAAAGCACTGACTGCCCTTCCAGAGGACCTGGGTTCAATTCCCAGCACCCACATGGCAGCTCACAGCTGTCTATAACTCCTGTTCCAGGGGATCCTACAACCCTCACACAGACACACATACAGACAAAACACCAATGCACATAAAAATAAATCATTAAGAAATTTGCGCTGGGCAGTGGTGGTACATGCCTTTAATCCCAGCACTCAGGAGGCAGAGCCAGGTGGGTCTCTGTGAGTTCGAGGCCAGCTCTGGTCTACAAAGCGAGATCCAGGACAACCATGGCTGTTACACAGAGAAACCCTGTCTCAGAAAAAAAAAAAAAAAAGTTGTATTATTAAAAAAAAAATCATTGCTCTCCATGAACTTGTAGTACAGTGGCAGCGTGCTTGCCTCCCATGCCTGAGGTCCTGGGTTCACAGAAGAGAAAGGAAAGGACTTCAGGAAAGCATCAGTGCTGGTAGCTCAGCATGCTTGCCCCACAAGCCCTGAACCCCAGCTCTCAGGATCTGTATAAGCCAGGTGCGGGAGTGTTGTCTGGAACCCCTGCACTCCGGAGATGGAAGCAGGAAGGTCAGTTCAAGATCATCGTGGGATTTTATGAGAACCTGGATAGGTGGGGCAACAACAAAATGTTCTGTCCAGTCCAGGACCTTTCTGAGTTCAAAGCCATAGTTGACTCCATAAATCCAGGGAAAGCTCCTCTCACGACAGAGTGGAGCCCTGATTCAGAGGAAAAGCAGGGTTCTAGTCCATTTCCTTCTCCCCAGCCTCACAGCAGTGGTCCAGATTTCCCTCCTGTCCCCCCCCCCCCCGATATGTTTCTGGGACACCCAACCTGGGCCCCAGCTGTGGCTCAGTGCTTCCCCTGGACTCATGACTGCTCAGCTGAGCTCCCTTATTTCCCTAGCTGGACCTGGACCTGACTTCCCGGCAGTCCCTGTAACCCTAGTGCAAAGTCCAACCTGGAGCCAGGCTGTCACCTGACCCAGCAGGAAGTTGCCAACCTGTCCCCCAGAGAGGAACTAGCAATAACCAGACTTAGGGCCGCAGCCCAAGGGCCCTCTAACTTTGCTCTTAATACTTTTGGAAAGCTCAAGCCTCTACCTGCCTCCCACAGACACCAGCTTTCTCCCTGTCTGGGCCCGGCTTCCTCCAGTACAGGCCGAGGTGTGAAATGTCCCTCATTTCGGTAGGGCACTAGGAAGGGGTTGGGAGCCCCTGTGCCTGCCCCCTCCCCTGTCAGCTTTTGGACCAATTGGAAGGGCTGGAGTCTTAGTGGAGGGCGGAGCAGTCCTGCTAAATTGTAGGCCCTTAGTAAACCCTGGGAAGAGAAAGGCCGCAGACACCACCCTACCACCAGCGTGCCTGTGTCCTCTACTCCCGGCTCCCAGCATCTAGCAGCTTTGTTAACATTTCAAACAACCTCCCTGCCGAGACCTTCTTTGAACTTTCCTGTATCTTTTCCCATCAGAGCCGCAGACTAATTCCACCCATTCAGCCTCTCCCAACCCCTTGTGGGCCGAGAGGTCATTGGTAGGTGGCCCAGTGCAGGTGCACCCAGCTCCCAGTTGGTGCCAGCTTGCTAGAAGCTGAGGGAAAGGAGAAACGAGAAGATTTAAGAACAGAGAGAAGAGGTCACTGCTGCCAGCCAGCAGCTGCCTCTGTGGAATGGGTGATGGTTCCCTTCATTGTCTCGGTAGAGACCTCAACACCTGGCCTGGGTTCCAAGCATCCAGAAACAGGCCACAATCACTGATTATTGTAAGCTTATTTTTTTTAAATGATTTATTTTCTGTGAGTGAGCTTTGTCTGCATGTATGTATGGATACCACGTGTGTGCCTGGTGCCCATGGGGGCCAGAAGAGGGTGTTTGATCCCCTGGAGCTGGAGTTAGAGATGGTTGTGAGCCACCATGTGGGTGCTGGGAACCGAATGCACCTGGATCCTTGGGGAGGGCAGCCAGTCCTCTTAACCTCAGAGCCCTCTCTCCAGCCCTATTGCTCGCTTATTACAGAGCGTAATAACTGGACTCCTTGGTGTGTTGTCAGAACCTGTAATCCAGCTACTCCGCATGGAAGGAGCATGACGTACAACGTTCAAGTCTAAGGCAACACGAAGAACCTTGTCTCAAAAAGAAATGCTAGGGTGGAAAGATACTGCTCAGTGGTGGAGTGCAGGCCTAGCAAGGCCCTGAGTTCGATTCTCAGTCCATACTTGTGCAAGAGGATTCTTTTAGTGATGCAACATTTTTCCTCTTTCAAAGTCTACGATTATTTCTACACCCTCCCCAGTCAAACAAAACAAAACTCAACTCTTTATGTAGCTGAGGAAGAGGATGACATCATGTTCCTGACTCAACTTGAATTCCTGATCCTCCTGTCTCTACCTCCCAAATGCTAGGATTACAAGTGTCTGTCATCACTCCTGGTTTATACTGTACTGCAGAGGAACCAACCTGGACCTCAAAAGAGCCAACCAGCTGAGCTGTATGCCCAGGCCTCGTGGGGTTTTCAAGAATTATTTTTATTTATGTGTATCTATGTGAATATGTGTACACGTGCTCAGAAAGGGTGTCGGGTGCCCTGAAGCTAGAGTTATATGTGGGTTGTGACCTGCCCCTTGTGAGTTCTGGAAACCAAACTCAGACCCTCTACCAGACAGCAAGCTCTCAGCTGCTGAGCCACCTCTCCAGCCCTTTCAACCCTTGGTTTTCTTTTGTTTTGTTTTGAGACAGAGTTTCATATTGTAGCTCAGAGTGGCCTAGAACTTATACCCTGGGCTAGCCTCAATCCTCCCACTTCAGTTTTCCGAGTATTGGAATACAAGTATGGCCCATCATACCTGGTTTCCTTTTTATTTTTTTGTTTTTATAAATTGTAGTGTGTGTGTGTGTGTGTGTGTGTGTGTGTGTGTGTGTGTGTGTGTGTGTGTGTGTGTTCATAGCATATGTGTGTCATCATAGCATGTGTGGTCAGAATATAATTTTCAGAAGTTGGTTCTTTCTTTCACGATGTGGGAATGGAACTTGTCAGGCCTGATGGAGGTGCCTTTACCTACCGACTCTGCTGAAGCCCCTTGCCCAGCCCTTTTATTTTTGGAGAAAGAGTCCCCCTGTATCACCCAGGTTACCTTCAAACTCATGATCCTCCTGCTTCCACACTTAGCCCACCCCCCACATTCTAATGGATAAAATCGGTAAAAAGCAATGCTCTAGTATATGAATCGATTTTATTTTATGAATC